GGGGGGGGGGGGGAGGATTGGAGGAAACTACATTTACCTGTGTCAGAAGTTTCTAAAAACACATTTATGCAAAAACTAGTTATAAAATGTATTTCCAGTTATGTTGGCAGTGGTTCCATTTCATGTGGACTTTTTGCATTCTGGTCTGCTTCTTTTCTTTCCTTCTTTTTCTTGCGGTTCAAGTGGAAGAATACACCCCCTAAAATCCCACCTGGTCAAATAAAGGGAATATAAAACAATTCTTTAAAAGTGTTTAAGCAAAGATTTCTTAGTTGAAAATTATACATAATATTCACACCACTGGAAAGAGCGGACTTCTGGGTGTTATCACAAAAGATTGGACTAGTAGTCTATCTCATTTGGCATCCTGTCTCTGATTGTGGTCAGTACCAGGTACTTCGAAGGAAGGTAGAAAAAATAACCTTTTAGTGGGTAGTTATATAAAAACATGACTACAGGAAAATTTTCTTCATTAATTCCCTTCAGTTAGGACTGTTTTATTCCATATATCATGAAGGTCAATATCCTTTATCACTTTTTTTATTCAGGCTAACATAACTGGAAAATCTCATTAGTTTCATATACTCATTTCAGTAACTGTCCTCTTGTTTCTATATTTTGATGAAGCACAGAGGGGTGCCTGAGTTACCTTCTGTCTGCCATTTGTTACTTTGTACATCCACTCTATTCTGTACAGGTTCTCCTGTCACATTCATCTCCATAGTGTCTGAGTAGCTGCACCTTCAAGTAGTACATTAAGCAATCTGATTAGCATTTTTCCCATGGTGTTTGTTCATTTATCCTTTCCTTAAGGAGAGAAGGATGTACAGGGCACAGTTTTATTTTAATAGGATTTTTGGCCTACTTACTTGGCTTCTGTGTTTCTTAACTATGAATGTTACACATATATATTATTTTAAAAAAAAGGTAAAAAATTATGCCTTGCCCTTGGAATAGAAGATGGCTAACTTTGTGAAGGGCTTTTTTTTCCTGGTACTTCATTCTACAATTTTGGGTACAGCCCTGAGAAAATGCTGTCTCTGCCATGTCAGCTCTTCTTAGTCTCCATTCTGAACAGACCAGTCCCAGTATCTTCCATTTCTCATCACATGGAAGTCTTTCCAGCCCTCTCATCCTTAACACTGCCCAGTAAGCCTGTGCAAATAAGGAAGTATTCAATTCAGATTCAGCCAATTCGAAGAACTGATTCAATACGGAGATTCAGATCACTGTTCTGAATCGATTCAGCTGAATCAGCTTTGGAAGATTTGGCACTGATTCAGAGAGATTCAGTGATTCAGCCATAGGCTATAATGGGGAATCACTGAAATACCTATAACATTGTCATTTTTTGACAGATTTGGATGAAGACAGCAGAGATGGTATGAAGCCTACCAAGTTTGGGATGGTATGAAGCCATGCCTTCTGCTGCCATGAGCCTGCCAAGTTTCAAGGAGACAGGTGCAGGGGTTTGGGGAAACTGCACCTCAAACTCCTGAAAGCAAAACTTGTGACGTGTGACTTTGTGTGTGGTTTGTCACAGTGGGATGAAAATAGCAGGGATGGTAGCCTGTAATAGGGGGGCCTTCCTGGTGTCGGTTAAATCTCTGCCCACCCACCTGTTTCCAGGCCAGCCGCCCACCCCTCTTTTGTTCAAGCAGAAACAGCTCACAAAAGGGACAGAAAGGCTGCAGACAGAGGCTTATATACGGTTTCTACGTCCCTCCCCAGGGCACTGTGATTGGAAGGGGACTCACTGGCCAGCTACAGATGGCAGTCTTTCCCCCCCTACTTCCCCTTCCTCTTCTCAGTTTCTGTTCCCCTGAAAGACTGCCTTCTGAATCACCAAATCTCCAAACCTTTTTCTGAATCTTTTCTGAATCGATTTGGAAGGGTTTTTTTGGTTCCCAATTCAATTCAGATTTGGTGGTTCGACTTCTGAATTGCGCCGAATCTTCTCCAAATTGAATCAGCGACTGAGGCTTCACACACCCATACTGCCCAGCTCTGAATCTCTACTAAATCTGCCTGAAAGGTCTTATTCCTGAGTCAGGGTGGAAAGTCCCTTTACATGTGGCTGAGTAAAGATTGTCACAGTCATTTCTTTAAAAAGTCAGGCTGAGTCATGTACAATTCTGTATAAAGCGATGAACTAGTTGCAGCTTTCATTGTGCTCCAGAATTTGACCTCTTTAAAGCAGGCCAAGAAAGGCAGCAAAAAATATTTTCACTCATTTCTCAGGCGTGGCTTGCACTAGTACTCTGTCTCTAGCTTGTGTTAAATGAGGAGTAAGAGGAAGGGAAGGGATTGCAGGGAAATGGGTCCTTTTTCAAAGATATGAACACAAAAGGTCTTGTGTCAGGATTTGCTCTCTGAGTTGCAGAGTCTGAACCTTGTCTTTTCAACTCTTAGTTTTGTTTGAATCAAACTTTTCCCTTGTCATCATCAAAGGGCTGGTAAAAGTTCATAGGTAGTTTCTCTTTTTTTTTAGTGGTTTATATATTACATGGTAAACATTACTGTGGAATCCTGGCTTCCTTTTCCTAGATTCAGGACTGAAGACTCGTTCTCTGGTGCTCATTCCTTTTTCTTTTCTTCATAGAACAGAGACAATTGAAAAGCTTACATAAGTTCTTTGCTTTTAAGCCTCCTCTGAGTTTGTCTGACACTTTCAGATATGATGTCTGCATTTTATTTAGTTTCATCTCTTTGATTCCCTCCTGTCTCTAAATCTGAGTCACAATTTCCTAGTCTGCTGACTGGCTGTAGTATCCAAAAATCACATTGGATTATGCTCTGGATTCTCTTGTTTATTTACTTAGTTGGGGGCTGGATCCCATCAGGAGGTCATCCTGACTACTTTTGTGCTTACATTTATTAAAAGAATACCCCAAATAATTGTCTTGTTTTGGAAAAAAGTATTAAACTGTTTGTCTAAGTTCCATCTGCTCACGCCAATCAGAATATCTTGTGCAATATAGTCTAACGATATAATCCTACTTTGTTCTTATAAATGCTGGTATCCCACAGTGCATAACAATTACAGCACTGGAAAAATGGCAAACCTAAGGAGTTAAAGAGGGTGAATAGACTGGGAGAGAGATAATAATCAAAAGCTTTCATATGGGAAAGTTATAGCAATTTACAGCACAGATCTAATGGGCTCCTTTAAGAAGGGATCAGAGAGACAGGGGGCACATCTACATGTGCAGTTTACTGCACAGTAGCCTATTTTACTGCGCATTAAAGCATCCCTGCAAAAACTGTGCTTATGCACTAATGGACAGTAAAATTAGGCTACTGTGCATTAAGCATCACTAAAAAAGTGTGCACTTTTGCTACTGTGCATTAGGGAAGCTAATGTGAATTTAGTTAGTACCTCACATTAGAGACACTAAATTTAATGCACAGTAGCAAAAGCACGTTAATGAATGTATAGATGCACCCAGAGAGACTAGCAAGTCATTTGGAGTAGCCGCAGCAACAAGTCTACGTTTAGAAGAGAGGAGGCAATAGAGGCATAAGTGAAATTTCTTCCAAAGAATTAGTCATCTTCCTCTTCCTGTTTTTTATGGTTTGCTGTGGTAAGTTATCCTCAACTATTTTTCATGATTATTGTCTCTTGCTCAGGTTTGAAAAAGCCAGAGATAGTAGCATTTTTAATTGACTTACACTATATATCTTCTGTATTGGTGCTTTAAATCTAGAAATAACTTCGTTTTTTGGAACATCTGCTCTTTTGGTTTAACCTATTAACAGTTTCAACTAGTTTCATGAAATTCAGGATGAAGAAAAGAAGAGCGACCATCAACATGATCATTCCTTGGCATTTGGTTATTTTACTACCTGAAAGTGCTGGTTTCATAAACAGATTTTATGGCAATGACAGCATGGCAAATTGTGGTACTCAGTACCCATGAAACAAGATAATATTTTAGAACTGCCATTGAAACTGGTGGTTGATGTTTTCCATTGTGCCCATCTCCCCAGCTACATTTGTGAGGGGACCTTCTATGTCATACAGGGAACATCTAAATTGTGACGCCACAGCTACATCACTGTAGCAACATGCTCCCTCACTATAGTGCATCGCTACAGTAAAGTAGTACCTAAAAATAACCATGCACAGCATGCACGGTGCATTATAAGCTGTTACTGCCCCATCGTAAGTACTTTCAAAAGGAAGTACTACATGACGGTGCAGTAACAACAGCACCATAGCGGCATGTGTAGTTGTGAACACTGTACCCAAGCAGACATGGATTAGCTACCTCCAAGGCAACCTCAATTTCTTATGCCTCAACCCAAGGATGCTGCCAATGCTCCACTGAAACTTATTTCAGCCTTGAGTTAATGTTTGCCTGAGTTAATATTTCCACACCTGGGTTAATATTTATAGCTAAAGTTAAAAACAGTCTGCATGGCTGCGAAATAGGTGCTACTTCACCAGGAGCAGCTGGCAAACAGCAGAATTGCACAAGAAAGGATACCTTGATTAGTGGAAACATTAGAGACCACTAAAAAGGATAAAGTGTCATTAATAGCCCTGGCATGAAGATTTTACAAAGAATCAGATAGATTATAATGAGCCATGAAGTGAATTGACTCGGTCACTGCTGCCTGAAAATAAATAAATGCTGCTGCCATTGCCATCACTCCCACTCCACTTTGGTTGGAGCAGGAATCAAAGTGGGGTGCAACTGCACCAATGGACCTCCCCCCCTGCCGATCTGCACCTGATGCCATAGGGTTTGTAGGGGGAGGGGCAGAAGAAATAGATCAATTGGAAGAAGGGCCAAGGTGGGCCTACACTATCCAAGAAAGCTGCTGCTTGACCAATTTTTTGAGTAATCAGGGTAGTGAGAGCTGTTGTTCTCACTGATTCGTCAGCATTTGTAGCATCTGCTTATCCAAGGAGTGGAAGATTTAAGAACTGCAGGTAAAGAAAACATTCCAAAGAAAATGTTTGACCTACCAATGATTATTGCTACTGCAAGAAGGATACCAACTGCCATGCCGACTGATGGTGACTGTTTATTGTATACTAATTCAATAAAACATGTCCTGGCATCTGTACACCTGCAGATGTTTACTGTGGGCAAAAGTATATCATAATATTAGTGAGATATTTTAACACCTCCATGTAAATATCTGTGAATATTACCATCATCTGAACTACTAGCACAAATTCTGTGTTCATTGTACCTTGGAGATTCAGGTTTCTTTCCAATGGTGGTTCTCCCTTGTCCTTAATTTTTAGTGGAATGTTATGCATTTTTGCCTCTAGATCAAGGCTCGTTGGGGAAAGGTCAACATGGGTACCTGTCAACATGAAATGGGACGGTCATATTAGAACAATAAGAAACTTCCACATGTGCACAGCTAAGCTAATCACCATCGCTCATGGTTCTACCTTACCCCTATGAATATCTTGGAGAGCTTATTGCTTTTACAAGACATCATTAGTAAGAGCATGTATGCATGCATGCACACAATACTTTCCCCTGGAGCTCCTTTCATAGGGTGCTGTAAATGGACCTTCTGGGGAGCAGCTCCAGACATAGGAAGCCCATCTACCTGTCACCTGCACCTAGGCCATCTCTATAGGTTCCCCATTCGCAAGGGATATTTGGGATGGGCTAGAAGCAGGGCTCAGTCAGGCTGGAGTTGTGAGAGATAAGGTGGAGGAAGCGAGTCATCTCAGGTGTTGTTACATGTGAACTATTCTGCCCTCTGCAAAACAATAAAGTAGCCTTCATAATACAGGCAGAGGGAAGTACATTCCTCTGGATCCACAATGCCCCTGAACAGAATCCTGGACTGCAGGTTTAGAAGGATGATCGTTACCATCTGATGATCATTACCATCTGATGATCTAGTCTCACCTCTTGCATAACACAGGCCACAGAGCTTGACCTAGCAACAGCAGACCACAGTCTATCTTGGGAAGTCGTTCTATACCAGTACAATCAATTACCACAGCAGATCTAACAAAACTACTAGTATCCCCACATTACACCTTGTGATAACCAATGTAGCAGGCCTTCTTATAGAATA